GACTGGAAGCATGTGCTGATGAAGATGAAAGGTTGCAGCCTTCAGTGTGGATTACAATTCAGTCTTGAGAACACCAAAATCCATATAACGGCACCGATAGATAATAGCACGATCAATGGAGAACAGATTGAAGTTGTCAAGGATTTCATTTTGCCTAGATCCACAATCAATGCCCCTCGTGGAAGCAGCAACCAAGAGATCGTAGGATGCACTGCATTGGGTAAATTTGCTGCACAAGACCTCTTTAAATGTTGAAATGTAAGAATGTTGCTTTGAGGACTGAGATGCCCAAGCCATGGTATTTTCAGGGGCCTCATATGCATGTGAAAAGTGAACATTGTATGCAGAAGTCTGAAGAAGAATTGGTGCATTTCAATTATGGTGCTAGAGAAGACTATTGAAAGTACTGTGGATGCTAAAAGAGCAAACACATCTGTCTTGGAAAAAGTACAACCAGAATATGCTTCTTAGAAGTAGGGTGGCATCTTCCTTGAGGACTGGCCTTAATTGGTCAATGATGCCAACTTAAGGGGGCTGGCGGTGGCTGGGCAGGTGCCTGGCACAGGGTGTCTGATTTGGGGAATTCAGTTTTCAGTGGCCTTGGGAGAGTCAGCTGTTCCTGGACTGCTGGGGTCCCCTCACAGGGGCCCACTAAGGCCTCTGCCTCTGCAGGGACGGCCAGGTGGGGGCGATGGAGTCCAAGAAGGACTTTGGCTATTTCTGCTCAATGTTATCCTCCCACACCTGCAGGATGGCCTGCCTTCGGGACAAGGCCAAACAACAGGTCGAACAGTTCATTGACTTTGCCATCACCAAGAACCCTGGCCTGCGTCCACCCTCAGGAAATTCACCAAGGACCCGGCCCAAGGGCAAGACTACGGGGCGGACTGAGGTCAAGAGGCTGGAGGCCAAGATCGTCAAACCCCTGAAACCGTATGAGTCGGAGATAAAGCAGACCCAGGCTGAGATCAAAATGTCCAAACATGTCCGAAATCACGGCACTCAAAAGCCTCGACAGTTCTCAAAGGCTTTGGACAGGTTTTTGTCATTTTCAGAACCTTTATGAATTAAGTAAGCCGCCTGTCATCTTATTTCAGTCAAGCAACGGATTGGCATCAGTTGGCAAGGGACTGGCATCTGCTCCGAGGGAGGCTACAGCAGATGTCGTTGTTTCAAAGGGAAGAAAGATACGTAATCAAGGAAGCGACAAAGGCAGGATAATAAGAAGGATGAGTTGATCAGTGCCCATCTGTAGGAAGTGCCTCGGTTGGCTCAAGGACAGCTCACATGATCCAGGCTTTCTGCAAGCTATCCTGACGGGAGCCGCTCACCTTGACTCTTCAAAACCTTCCTTTCTCCTCCGGAAAGCCGGAATGGTCAGAACTTGCTCTGTAGACTCTTTGTGAGAATTAAATGGGACGGTTTTTATAAATTCTGCAAAGGGGGCTCCCTGCTCTTCTCTTCCTCCTTCTCCTTAGTTCTGCTCCCCTCCTTTCCTCGTGATGACTGCTGGGAGGTAGCCAGACTCCTTGAGGTTTCCCCAGAAAACCCAATCACCCACTGCCAGGGATGTGTGGATTCTGACCCATGGTGGCCACGTAGGACAGAGAGGAACTCCTCTCAGGTTCTCAAGGCTCATCTTTCTCCTGCTGAGCAGCTGGGGGGTTTGAACCGCCAACCCTTTGTTTGGCAGCCAAGAGCTTAACCATGGTCACCGAGACTCCTTAAAAAGCCATTAACCAAGATTCTATCAAGAAATCCCCGCTGCTATAGAAGTGACCCCATTCTAACTTTTGGAGTGAAGGTTCTGGTGACTTTTCATTTGGGGGTCATGTTCAGAGGAGGGGGGCAGAGAGGCTTATCTTCTAGGCTCCTTGATTCGCTAGGGACAGTGTCTCTCCTAATCAGATGTCTATCTGGCCTTTCTTGATGCCTTTTATGAACTGCTTACCCACTCAGTTCTTGGGGGTGCCCCCTGCCAGGCCACTGCAAAGGAAATTTTACATACCACTCCCTGTCTCCCCTGCCCCCCCAACGGCCAGTATGTTAAGTTAAATCATTTGAAACAAGCCCTCTAAATTAGGGGGAAATCTCTCCAGTCATTTTAAAGTGAGATGGCAACCGAAATGTTACTTTTATAGAAACACCCCTTCCAGGGCTCCACCGTCTAGTGGAGAAGAATCCGATTAGCCCTGGAATGTATGTGCTATGGCCAAGACCCACAGGGGGCGGAGGGGGGCGTGGGGCAGGTGTCTGGCCAGCAGTTCTGGGGAAAGGTCACAGTTTATTCCTGTCTAGCCTTGGGAGCAACTGCGAAGTACTGAGGAGAAAGTTGCTCGCGGGCTCCCCAAACCTCTCCTGCATCCTCACCAATGCCTTGGGTGAGTATTGGGACTGATGGGCTGTTGAAATCCACCCACTCCCATCGCACTGTGGCCAGAGTGTCTGGGACCCAGTGGCACGGGCACAGAGTGATAAACAACTCCACTGGCGACATGACCCTGTTCTGACCCTGGCAAATATTGACTCTGCAGGGTCAAACACTGGGGTAGAAAACACGAATATTTCCACCCAGAGGGAAGGTCCTCTCCTGGGCAGCCATGACCAAGAAGGGTAAGTGGGTGGGCAGAGGAGGCACGGCTACAGGGTAAACATTTCTGGGCAGAGGTGCTGCGCCGGCTTGGGGATGGCCTGAGGTTGTTATGGGCAGGGGAAAAGTGGAGTGTGGGGTAGTTAGGTGGCCCCGAGAATACGACTCACTATGAGTGTCCATTGACTTGACGCTGACTCATGGAGTGGCCAAGTCAGCTGAGCTCCACAGGGTTTTCTTTTTCTTTTTTTTTATATTATAAATTGGGTTTTAAAAAAAATAATTTTTTTTTGGCTCGTGCAATTCTTATCACAATCCATATATCCATCCATTGTGACCACAGGGTTTTCAATGGTGCCTCGGGGTGGACTAGATCTTCCAACCTTTCCGTTATCAACTAAGCATGTTAACCAGTTGCACTCCCCAGGGACTCCTGAAAAATGCTGGGTATCCCATATTAGCGTGTACCCTGTAGTCTGAATCTGAGTTTTCAGGATGGCTTCAAGAGGCAAAGTGCCATCCAAAATAGACCCAGCAGCAGGTTTGATTAATATGTAGCTGACCCCGTGTAGAGGCAGGCTCCCCCCAGGGGTCTGGATGGACTGGGTCCACTCACGCCTCACCCTTTTTGTTGATGAGGACAGGGAAGCTCTAAGCAGCATAGTGACTCTTGCTGTGGGTTTTCCAGAGATCTGGAATTGGAACTCCCGCATGACTCCCTTTAAAGTGTATGTTGTGCTCTTTCTGCGTCTTTCAAACTCTGAGTGCAACCCCAGTTTTAAATCCAGTGCCCCATGACACACAGGAAGTTCAGAGAGCAGGCATTTGGACAAAGAGCAGAAACAGAGGTCACTGACGTGGCTGGGCCTCGGGTTGTTTACGATGTTGTAAAGATGTGGATGGAAATAATTATTGATTCCACGTTCTGGCTCTTGGGCAGGAGGTACAATTTGGAAAGTATTGGAAAGATGCCCGATGCTGCACCTTAGCTCCGGACAGTGTGTGTGTGTGCGTGCGTGTGTGTGGTGTGTAGTGGGTAGATGCCTGGTCATTGTGACAACCCACCCCCCAGGAGATGACACCTGCAAGCCCCTTGCCCACAGAGTCACTAGAGGCTTTTCTCTACAGGAGCTGGGTCACAGAAGGAGGCTTCCAGCCCGCAGTGCCAGGGGGAATGACAAATATATCCTCAATAAAGATACCAACCAATGAGGGAGGAAAACAGCAGAGAGAGAAAGAGGCCAACACTAGGATCAGCTGGAGGGTGGCAGAATGCAACAATCAAAGAAGAGACAGACATGATTGCACCGTGACCCAGAGCAGAGAGGAGAGAGAAATGATTCCCAGAAGTGAGCAAGAGAGGAGGTTTCACTGGCGATGGCCTAGATGTCCTGTCAATGGCTGGCAGCTTCCAGAGGTTTCCAACAGGCACCAGCTCTCTACAACTGCAACTCAGTGTGGGAGGAGGAGGTCAGGTGGAGGTGGAAGACAAGAACTCTAGACATCCTCACAATCAAGCAACCAGAATTGGGGCGCTCACACCACCTCCAGGAAGCCTTCCCAGCGTGCACGATGTAGGCTGCTGAGCCCCCCAATATCTCTCCAGGGGCTCATCCTGTCCTTTGCATTTGGTACCAGCCAGTCAATTGCCATTCACGTTGATTCTGGCCCAGGGACACTCCAGAGGGTTTTTAGCGGCTGGCTTTTTGGAAGTAGCTTGCCAGGCCTTTCTTCTGAGGCACTTGCAGGTAGACTCGAATACCCACCTTTTGGGTTCATAGTCCAGTACTTTAACTGTTTGCATCACCCGAAGACTCCCTTGGATTCATGGCTCTGTAGAGTTATCATCAGGATCACTGCTCTCCATCCTCACAGCCACTGAGCGGAAGCCGATTCACAGCGGCCCTGTAGGGCAGAGTAGAACTGCACCTGTGAGTTTCCAACGCTGTAACTCGTTACCAGATTAGAAAGCCTCATTTTTCTCTGGAAGAGCAGCTGGCGGTTTCGAACTGCTGACATTGCAGTTAGCAGCCCAATGTGTAACCACTACACCACCAGGGCTCTTTAAGCTCTTTCATTTGTGCTTTCTCTTGCGGGTTTGTATTGTTTCTTCTATTAGCCTGAACGTTTCTCTACGATTTCGGCTGCAGCTCCCTCGTGGTTTCTGGTGCAGGACTCCTGTTCTGTTGAGCACACACAACCCTTCCCTCCTTTAGCAATGTATGCGTTAGAACAATCCCAAGCTTATTAAAGTTTATGACTTTCTCCTAGCCACGCCTTCTCTTACAACGTTCCTTTCTCCTTGGCAGCTCTTTCTACTGCTCCTTGCTCTTCAGGGAGTGTTTGTTACCTTGGGAAGGGGGAGCAGCCACTACTGTTCCCATTATACAGATGGGGACCAGCCGACCATCGTTGCTGCTGTTTTTATTTTTAACCCAGCCAAAAGATTGAACTATTCTTTATAAGTTAACCAATCGGCCACCTAGCAAACAAAGCCCATATGGAAGAAGCACACCAGCCTGTGTGATCACAAGGTGTCGACGGGCTTAGGTATCAGAAGACCCAAAACAAGTAATCATATTGATGCGAATGAAGGGGGTTCGAAGTGGAGACCCAAAGCCCATCTGTGGACAATTGGACAACCCTTCACAAAAGGGTCACAAGGAAGGGGTAAGTTAGCCAGGGTGCTGGACCAGAGCATGTCCACTAGTACAGATAAGAGCTCTCGACACATGGAATCCAGAACAGATAAACCCCTCAGGCACAGTTATGTGAGTAGTGATACCAGGAGGCTAGGGCTAAGCTGAGGTAAGAAGGAAAAGAAAGGGGGAACCGATCACAATGATAGATGTAGTCATCCCCCCACAGGGGGATGAACAACAGAAATGTGGTGAAGGAGAGAGTGGACGGTTTAAGACAGGGGTGCTCAATACGTCCATCATGATCCACTAGTCAATCGCAAATGTAGTGTGGGTAGATCACATGGCAATAAAAAATAGACATAAGCCTATCAGCAATCCTGTCACTTAATTGATATACAGCGCAGCCAATCAGACGCAATCTTAGGTGTCAAATGCATGCGCTAACAACTGCGCTAAGTGCAGCAAAACTGACAAGCTCAATTATCGCCAAGTTTTAGGCCTTGTTTTTTTTTCCCTCTTACATGTAAGAAAGGGTATTAAAATGAGTGGGGGAGCTGGACCAAGTAAGAAGACAAAAACGTATCACATTCATACGGAATGGGAAATTTTGACACTACAAGCCGACATTCAGCTCAAGTCCAGAGCCATGACCAGTTCTGGAACTTACTCACAGAGGGAAAGCACCCAAACATGAGAAAATGTGCTACCTCCTTGACTGCAGTATTTGGCTCTACTTATTTATGTGAGTCGGCC